ATTCAGCAAAGGGTTATTGAGTGTCTACTATGTACTAGTTTCTAGGGCTACAACAGTGAGCTATATAACCACAGCTCCACAGAGTTTACATCTCCAGCTCTTGGGGGCAGAAGACAGGAGGTGGGAAAAAGTACATAGTAAATAAATGAACAAAAAACCCAGATGACTACAGAGAGCAATAGTGGCTCTAAAGACAGTTAAGCAGGACAATGTATTGACAGATGGAGGTAAAGTTGAAGGCTGCTTTAGATAGGTTAGTCAGGAAAGCCACTCTGAGAGGAGACATTTAAGCTGAATGCCAAAAAAGTAGCCAGTCATTCAGACATCTTGGAAAGATACGCTAGGCAGCAAGAATAGCAAGTGCAAAGGCCAGAGGTGAGTCCATGGAACAGATTGAACAGAAGAAAGGCCAGTAAAGGTAGAATACAGTCATTAAATGACAGAATTCCTCATCATATATGTTTTCTATGTTAAGGGGCTTAGATTTTATTCAAATAGCAATGGGAAGCCCTCAAAGGATTTTTAAACTGAGGATTAAGCTGATCAGATGTATATAATAAAATCATCACTCTGACTGATATGTGGGGAATGGTGTGGGGGATGAGAGAGGACCACTGGGGAAGCTATTGCCATAATTCAAGAAAAGGGTAGTCATTGATTGAACTAACATATAATAAAGGAGGTGGAGATAACTGAAATTATGTTATGAATTGGAGGTATTGTTGACAGATCCTGCAGTTAATTTCCAAGTAGGGGAAGAGGGCAAACAAGGTTTTGACTTAAGCAATGAATTTATAGGGAAAGGGAAGATTTGAGAAAGAACAGGTTTGGGTTGGAGGGATAAATCTAGAGTTCATCTTGGAACATTAAAAAGTTTGAGATATCATTGGATATCCATGTGGAATATCACATCAGAAGCTGGATGTATCAATGCCTGAGGCTCAGGGAGAGGGAGAGGGCAGGACCAGGGATATATATTTGGGAGTCATCAGCATATAGATGGAATTGAAAGCCATGGGAAATCACGAGATCATGCTGAGAGAAAGTATAGATAGAAAAGAGAAGGGAGCTCAAGACCGCCAACACTTAGAAGTCAAGGAAATTAAGAGGGGCTGTCAGCAAAGACCAAGATAGAGAAATGGAATGGCCAGAGTCACAAAAGCCATGAGAAGGAAATATTTCCAGAAGGAGGGAGTGATTACACATGTTAAACACTGCTTAAAGATCAAGTAAGAGGAACATAAACAGATAAAACCATTGGACTGGCAATGTGGAAGGCTGGTGATCCTGACAAGAGCAAATGCAGGGGAATAGAAGCCCAGTTAACGTTTCAATAGGGCAGGTGGGGAATAAAGAAAGGAAATTGGGCAATAGCAAAAGGGACAGGAAGAAAAGCACAGATGTCAGAAACAGTGTGATGAGGGACTGGATGTGGGGAGTGAAGCGGGGATCATAGGCTTTCCAGAGGTGATAAAGGTAGCAGTGCCACCAAACCTAGGAACAGGAAAAGTAGAAAGGAAGGAAAATAATGATTTCCATTTGGAACAAATTGATTTCAGTGGGCAACAGGACATTCATGTGGTACAATTAAGCAGTTAGAAGCTCAGACTTGAAGCTTGATGATTCCCAAATCCAGATGCCTAGTCCAAAAGTACAAATGGCCAGGACTGGACATCCAGATCTGGACTCACCAGCATAAAAATTGTGCTGGCTGACCATGAAGGTAGGTAAGGGCCCCCTTCAGTGTAGAGTAAGGAAATGAAAGTCAAAGACAAACCTTGGAGAACTCTTGCATTAAAGGGATAGTCAGAGAAAGAAAAGCCAGCAAAGAAAACCAAGAAAGTCATAAAAGATTGTGTCATGGAAGCCAAGAAAAAAAAAGGTTTTCAAGAAGGAAAAGGCAGTCAGTAATGCCAAGTGCTTCAGAGAATTCAAGTATGCAGAGACTAGAGAGGGACCTGGTAGAACTGACATTCCTAAGGCTACAATGATGGGCATCTTTTGTCCACAGGCCTCTACAACATCAACCAGACCCGTCTTGATTTCCACTTCTCCCCTGAGAGAACTGCTGGTGGCATGGAGATCCAGCAGGCCAGCCTCATGTTCTTCGTGCAGCTCTTTCCCAATACCACCTGGACTTTGAAGGTGAGGGTACTTGTGCTAGGCCCACAGGACACCAATCTCACCTTGATCACTCAGCAACTGCTGGAGGTAGATGCCAGTGGCTGGCACCAGCTCTTTCTGGGACCCGAAGCTCAGGATGCTTGCAGCAAGGGCCACCTGACCTTGGAGCTGGTACCTGAAGGCCAGGTAGCCCAGAAATCAGTCATCCTGGATGGGGATGCCCATAGACCTTTCGTGACAGCCCAGGTGAGAGTTGGGAGCAAGCACCAGGTCCATCGGCGAGGCATCGAATGCCAGGGTGGGTCCAGGATGTGCTGTCGACAAGAATTCTTTGTGGACTTCCGTGAGATTGGCTGGCATGACTGGATCATCCAGCCTGAGGGCTACACAATGAACTTCTGCACAGGGCAGTGCCTGCTGCCTGTGGCAGGCATGCCTGGTATTGCTGCCTCTTTTCACACTGCAGTGCTCAGTCTTCTCAAGGCCAATTCAGCTGCAGGCCCTGCTGGAGGGGGCTCATGTTGTGTGCCCACAGCCTGGCGCCCCCTGTCTCTGCTCTACTATGACAGAGACAGCAACATTGTCAAGACTGACATACCTGACATGGTGGTAGAGGCCTGTGGATGCAGTTAGTCCACATGTGGAATGAACAGCCTATAGTGGGGAGGACACGCCCTCACAGAGGTGCCCTACCTCTAGAGGAGGGAAAGACTCCATTACTGCTTCTGTCCAGGTGGGCTCCCTCCTCCTGAGCAACCAGTGCAAATTATCCCAACTTGGACTTGAAGAGGTCATCTAACTAGAGTCACTGTACCACCTCCATGACCACCAGGTCCTCTCCTAGAGCATAGACCATCCAACCCCACGTGTTTGACTGCCACCCTAGGGACACTGACCCACCTGCAACAACAAGCAGTGCCATCTGGTTCCCAGTGAAGACACCCATACCCCGTCTGTAATCCACCCTCTACTCCTCTGTGCCTCCCTGTCCTACCCTCTCATTAGTTCCCACCCCAGGATGAGCTGACCCAGAGCCTTCCCTGATTTTGTGGATCTCCAGAGAGCACCTCGCTGGAATTTACCAAAGATGAGATCACCATTCTCCAAAGAGAAGCTTAGGCCTCTCTGCCTTGAGCTTCTTAGCTGCCCCTGGGGATGCTGAGGCGCTCTTGACACCCTCATCCATTCTTTGAACTTCTTTGCCCTGCTGTACATATGCTCTTGGGGGCTGACTCACCTGAGCCCCTTTGACCTCTGGCTTCCTGCTGAGTTTGACTAAGGGGAGAGACACAAGCAGGTGATCAAAGAACAGGAGGATACAGAAGTCAGGGGATTTCTTATTCCTGTTCCCTCTGCTTAAGTGCCATGGTTCTGTGTGACTTCGGCTGTGGCCATGTCCCCACATCTCCTGTTAGGCTCCCTGCTTCCATGGCTCCAGCTCTACCAAGGTTCTGATATCCCTGCTTCTGTGCTGAGGGCTTGTAATGACTTTCCATTCTTGGTAGTCCCTGGGTGCTTCAGCATCCCTCCTTGCTTCCCTTAACCCTGCCCATACCTCTGTACATAAGTTCTTCATTTAGCCTTCTTCATGAGACAAACACAGACAGCTGAGTGGTCCTGTTTTCTGCCAGAGCCCTGGCTGCCACCACAAGGACATGGAGTCTGTCTGCCCTGCCCACTTTTCTCTCGTCACACAGGCTTCACAGAGATGAGCTACTTAGTGTCCATCCCACACTTCAGGACTTTCCCTTCCCCAGCTGCCTCCTCTTCTCTCTTGGGCCTCCTCCTGCCTCCCAGAACGATCTTTACTAGCTTCAGGGTTAACAGAGGCCTGGGGTTTACCTGCTCCTTTCCTCCCTCTGTACTCACTCCGAGAGGAGACAGGCTGGTGCTCAGTCAGCAAGCAGGGAGACAACCTGGCAACATGTGTGCTGGGAAGCATGGCTCAGAGATGGCTGCCTTCCCTCACCAGCCACCAGAGCCCTGTCCAGGGTTCCTGCCTGGAAGCTGGGACTAGCCAAGGGCCACTTAAGTGGGACAGAAAGAAGAAAAGGAAGCCCTGGGATTAGGAAAGAGAGGCATTTGCCCTGGGACTGAGTCCTCTCTGGACCTTTGCCCTCTTCCCCCACCATCTTCTCACTTTGGTTGGACAGCCCTGAACCATGGGGTCGATATTGTCTGCAGCCCAAGGCCGAGTTTGCGCAAAAGCTGTGTGTCCTTTGGGTAACGTGATGTCTGTGTTTGCTCAGTGTATAACCCTCTCCTAACAGGGTCTGAGGTCCCTGCATTAGGAGCCCTAGAGGAGAAAATTGGACAGGGGCCTCCTGGTAGACTGCCAATCTGAGCTGTGGGGCTTCCTGAGCAACCCATGGAAGTCAGCCCACCTTTGACTTGAGGAGATCTTCATCCAAGGAGAGAATCTAAGGAAGTCTTCTGTTGCCTGTCCCTCCTCCTCCTTCCCCCACATCTCTCCTCCCCACCCTCCACTCCTCTCCCAGATCTAACTTCCCTCCCTCCCTCCAATTGCAGCTTCAGTCCCCAGGGCCAAGACTAAGGTGAAGCAAAGCAAGGCACTTGCCTGGGGAGCAGAATTTTAAGGGAATGCCAAAAAATTCATCAATTGAGGTCCAAATGATATCTTAATGCAATATTTTAGAAACAAAATTAATGCCAAAAAATCTGTGATGAACACAACAGCAAATTTTTAAATAAACACAGGATCAGTATTATTCCCTTTTTTTGGCTCTGCCTTTTGTTAAGGGGGAAAGACAGAGTCTGTCTTTTTCCAAAGCTTTTCTTCTGGAACCCCCGGACCCCTAACTCTAGACTCTGCCAGGCTTTTCTCATTCAGGCAAGATGATCATTCTGTCTTCCTCTACTTCCTTACACTCCCCAAGCCTATCACCACCCCCCAGCCCCAACCAGGTTGGTGGTAGGACGGACTGTGAGGCAGATGGCTGGGGTATTTATAACCAAGAGTACTTCTTGAGAAAAGTGACTAAGATGCTAAGAGCATATTTATAGCTGGGTTCTGACGTAAGTGTCAGTGGGGAGGTAGGGCCAGGCCAGGCACAGCAGCAAGAGGGTAGGAAAAGCTGGGAATTGGGGGCATCTGACAGCAAGGGTAGAGAAGAAGTGGGGTCAGCGACTCCTGAAGCCACTTCTTGCTGCTTCCCCTGTCTTCTGGCACCAACAGGTAAGCCTTCTGAGACACCACCAGGGGCAGAAACCTCTAGTTTGTAGTTCCATGGTCCAGACTCCAAAGGGTAGAGAGCTGTCACTCCAGCCCCCACCAACAGAGGGGTTGCTGGGAGCTGGAGGGAGCGCTGGACAGAGGGGCTTGAATATGTTCCAGGACCTGGGGAGATAGACAGCGTGGACTGAGGGTTTCAGTCTCGTTGTTCTTTCTCCCCTCCCACGACATGGTGCCCTGAGTTTCTAGGAAGAACCTGACTCCCATCACCTAGCTCCACTGCCACGCATCAATGTGATGAGGTCCAAAACCAAAGGCAGCAGTGATGTGGGTCCTGATGACCGCCTCTGCTCTCTGGCAGGGTCGAGAGGAGAAGACAGAGGGCCAGCTTTCTGGCTTTGTGTTGGAGAGGCAGGAAGAGGGTGGGAAGCGCCCATCTCTCCACTCCCCGAGCAGCCCCTTCCTTAGGAGCCGGTCCTTGCTAAGCCTGCTGCTGTCCAGTGGCACGGCACTGCCACATGGTGGACACTGGCGGTACTGCGCCCAGTCCCCAAAACACCGCCTCTCTCCCCCAGTTCCCCCAGTGCCTCATCTAGTATTCTCTCTTTACAGCCCCCGTGGCTAAATAGAAGAGAGATTATTAAACGTTGTAGTGGCACATTTCCAAGTCACGCTCACTTCCTCCCAGCTTTTTGAAGAAACTGGAGTATAAGGAGAAAGACTAGCATTAGGTCTACCTTCATGGGTTCAAGGTGGAAGGGCCTGGGTCAGTGAGAAATGTGCTAAGCAGAGCTGGGATTGGAAGGAAGTCTGCTGCCCTCACCTTGCTTTGCCCCTAAAAGTCCTTAAACCTCCCATTGTCCACCCCTGTTACTAGAGGCCCAGCATCACTTCTAGGATGCCCCAAACTTACACAGTTCTCACAGTGCCCTGAAAGAGAACCAGCAGTCGGGTGCAGGCCCTCCCAAGGGCCATGCCCTCTGCCAGCCTTGATGGACTTTGCTCTGCTGTAAGATTGCATCATCACCACCGCTGCCTTGCTGGGTTTCCTGCGACATCACAGTAACATGTCCGCACTGTACTCTGGCCCTCCTCCACACTGTGCTCTAGTCCAACTGGACTCTGGGCGGCCAGCACAGTCAGGGTCAGGAGGTGACTTCTGTGCCCTGTGGCACTGCCACCTTGGCCTGGGCAAGAGGACTTCATTCTTCCTGCCCCCCACCAACCTCTCACCCCTGTCCCAGCCCCATTGCTAGGCATGAAAAACCAGAGTGCTCCTTCCATCCCAGAGACCCCAGAGAGAGAACCACTAGAACTCACAGCTGCCTCATGGGAACTGCTGCAGCAGTGGTGGCTGGGTGAGCTAGAAAGACTGGAGGTATAGGGGCAAATTGCCCTTCCCCAGTTTGCTCATATGGAGTTCCCTCCTCCAAGCCCCAGACCTTGGGGACTGAGCATGTGAAATCACCCTCTTTCTTGCATCATGCGTGTCCACATTGCCCCTCTGCCCCCATACCCATACCTCAAACTTAGTGACTAGGGCCAGATGGTGAAACCTGAGCTCTGGGTGGGGGGGGAAACTCCACCCCCTGCAGGGGCCTGATGGGCAGTACAACTGGCCAATCCTGGGGCTCAGAGGGTAGGCCTGCCAGCTGACCACTAGGTGAGGGAGCCCCAGGTTGCCTGCTCTAAAGAGGCCCCAGGCAGTGACCAGACAAGAGCTGTGAGGGTCAAACTCCCAGATGGTGCTAAACACAGCTATCCATTGGACCACCCACTTTCTGCCTTCCTGAGTCCTAGGCAATAGAAGACAGGTGGCTCTACCCTTGGCCAAGGATAGGTGTGGCACTGGTGTCTGCTGCTGCGGGGCCCTCACTGGCCTCCACACAATCAGATCAACAGAAGGAGCGACTGCCACCCGAGGCTCCCGCCCTGACCCAGAGTCCTTCACCAGGAGTATGGGGATCCGTGATGTCCAGCTCTGGCCAGTGCTGCTGTGGGCACTGTTGTGGGCACTACTGTGGGCACAGGGGGCAGGGGCTGTGTGTCCTTCCTGTGGGGGCCCCACACTGGCACCCCAAGCAGAGCGAGCTCTGGTCCTGGAGCTAGCCAAGCAGCAAATTTTGGATGGGCTGCACCTGACCAGCCGTCCCAGAATAATTCACCCTCTACCCCAGGCAGCGCTGACCAGAGCCCTCCGGAGACTACGGCCAGGAAGTATGGCTCCAGTGAATGGGGAGGAAATCATCAGCTTTGCTGCCAACACAGGTGGGTGAGGCAGAGACAGGCAGAGAGCAGACAGGGGAAGGGAGGTCAAGGGGGTGACTAACAGAAAAAGTGGAAGTAGTGGGGTATAGAAATAGAAGGAGGAGTTGGGGCGGGCAGTCCCCATTTTTTCTAAAGGTGGTGCTAGGGAGAGCAGCGGGCAGGACATGCCGGAGTCTCTGAAGAGAGCTTCATCTCTGCTCACGTCCTTCAGTCCTTCTCCATCTTTCTGGCAGAGTCCTCCACTGCAACCTGCAGCTCCATGCTCACCTTCCACCTGTCTACTCCTCAGTTCCACCACCTGTACTATGCTCGCCTCTGGCTGCACGTGTTTCCCACCCTTCCTGGCACTCTTTACGTGAAGATCTTCCACTGGGGCCTGAGAAGGAAGCACCAAGGGTCCCGCACCCTCCTGGCTGAGCACCAAATGACAACCCCGGGCTGGCACGCCCTGGCTCTGCCTTCTAGTGGCTTGAGGGGTGAGGAGTCTGGGGTCCTGAAACTCCAGCTGGACTGCAGACCCCTAGAAGGCAACAACTCTGCTGCCAGACCACCTCGGCGGCTCCTGGACACAACGGGAGACCAGAGACCCTTCCTGGAGCTTAAGATCCAGCCCAATGAGCCTGGAGCAGGCCGGACCAGGAGGAGGACCCCCACCTGTGAGCCTGAGACCCCCTTATGTTGTAGGCGAGACCATTATGTAGACTTCCAGGAGCTGGGATGGCGGGACTGGATCCTGCAGCCTGAGGGGTACCAGCTAAATTACTGTAGTGGGCAGTGTCCCCCTCACCTGGCTGGCAGCCCAGGCATTGCTGCCTCCTTCCATTCTGCTGTCTTCAACCTCCTCAAGGCCAACAACCCTTGGCCCTTGGGTACCTCTTGCTGTGTGCCTACTGCCCGAAGGCCTCTCTCTATCCTCTATCTTGACCGTGATGGTAATGTGGTCAAGACAGATGTGCCAGACATGGTGGTAGAGGCCTGTGGCTGCAGCTAGCGAGAGGACCTGAGGGTCTGGAGTAAAGAAGTCAAACTGGGGGTTCCCAGGCAAAGGGCATCTGTGGCTGGAGGCATCAGATTCCTGAGCCACACCTCCACCCAATGGGCCACCTGGTAGTATTACTGGATCAACCCTTATGGGACCCAAATGGGCACTTTCTTGTCCAGACTTTGGCCTATTTCAGGTTGGTTGATGTGTGGGAGATGGGCAAAGTGTGTCGTCTAAAGGAGTCTACCCAGAAAGCATGATTTTCTACCCTAAGTCCTATGAGAAGATGGCAGAAGTGAGGGAGGGAGAAGGCAGAGAAAAATTACTTAGTCTCTCTCAGGAAAAGAAAGTCCAGTAGTGAGGGAAGGAAGAAGCAGTCCCAGAGCCCAGAAGGCTTGGGACAGGCGAAACAGGCTAGCCAAGGGAAGGGGCAGTTGAAGCGCTTAAGGCAGAGCCAAGGAGATGGGCAAGCGGCTGAGAGAAGGTGTTTAGGACAGCTCCAGAAAGGGGAGTCAGGAGTGAGGCACCTGAGAAGTTCCCTGGCTTTTCCCAGGTGTGGGGCAGGACCCACTAAGGGGACAAACATTTATACGTACCTAATAAAAAGGAGGGAAAACATCAATTATGAGTCATGGAGAAAAGCTGTGGTGAGGGTCCAGAGCATTAGTTTTCAAGGTGTGGTCTGGGGAGCCCTGGGAGGTCCCTGAGACTTTTTCAGGGGTGTTCACAAGATCAGAACTATTTTCATAATAATACTAAGATGTTATTTGTCTTCTTCATTTTCATTATCTCAAAAGCATACAGTGGAGTTTCCTGGAGGTTGTATGGCATCTGACATTGTTAATGGGATGTGTGCTTGTGTATTCCTGCATTACAAGTTTTTTCAGTTTTGACTTCAAATATGGTAAATTGATAGACACCACAGTAACAAAAGTTGAATAATTTCTAAGAGTGCAGCAGAGACTTGAAACCAAAATGTTTGAGAATCACTGATCTCGAGAAAGTAGTATGCTCTCAAAGAGCTTCTCTGCAAAAAGAGCATATGGCTGGGGCTGGGGTGTGTGCCAGGTCCCTTCTTCTCCACTGACCATTGGTCTTGCCTGACCCTCTGGGTGTAACTGGTGTCCAGGCCAAAGTCATGAGAAGGTGTTTAGGACAGCTCCAGAAATGGGAGTCAGGAGTGAGGGGTGGTGAGCCTGAGAAGGGTCAAATAGGACTCCTTGTCTGTTCCTCCACAGTTACTACCTATATTGGTGGGGTCTGAGACCCCTTCCTAGCTTCACCTTTTCCCCTTGACCCTCAGACTGAACAGTTAATCTACTTTCTAGGCCCAAGGAAGTGTTCTTGGAAGCAGAGCAAGAATATGGGAGCTCTGTCTGAGGGGTGAGAGAAAAGGAAGAGACTCCTTTCCCCACCAATTCTTTTTCCCTTCTCAGAAAAGCCGGAGAGACTAAAATAGTTGCCCCTTCCCCTGCCTCAGGTGCATCACCATGGAAACACGAATCCAGAGGGTCAGGACACTCCCCTGTCAGACACTAGGGCTCTGCATTAGCAGCCTCTGCAGTGTGCCCACCCTTTCTTGAGACTCATACGACCCCTCCCTGGGCTCCTAACTGGGCTTTGGAGAGGGGACCTCCTAAGCCTCCTACTCCTTCAGCAGCCCCAGTCTCCTCTTGCGTCAGGACACCGAGAGGGTGTCGTGTGCCAGCAAGGCCAGCAGAGGGAGCAGACGACCTTGAAGCTCCGGAGGAGAGCGGGCTTCGCAGAGGTGCCGAAGTGGCCGCAGTCACCAGAACTTCTTTGGGAAGGAGAGCGAGGAGTCTCGGCGACCAGTACTTCAGTCCCGAGGTTCCTTAGTAATCTTGTGAACACATACTCGGCTCGCAGAGCCTCAGCTGCTGCTTTTCTTTTTTATGCTCCATAAACCCCTCACCCGCAACCCAACTCTGTCCCAGTCCTGTTCCCACCAAACGCCAAATCTGTCCTAAATCCTTCATGTTCCATCCAAAGGCTGAGGCCGGCAGATAGATTACAGGATGGCGGAATGCTCGGGAAGCACCCACAAGGTCGATGACCTTGCCTCCAATATTATCTTTCTCGGATGAACTTTCTTTTGTCGCTCCCCCTCCCCCCAATATATTTCTCAATGTTTTTTTCTGGCTCTGCTTCAGGGCCTCTTCATGGGCTGCCGATCCAAGAATCCATGCCGGGATTTACTGCCCACCAACAGCAGCGTGTTGGGGGGGGCAGTGTAGGCAGTATAGGGTCCCTCAAGGGAGGGGGAGGATCCTGGGGGTCCTGGGGGTGCAATAAGCCCGGCACCCCCTCTCTGGCTTCCAGCTACCCCGCCTCATCCTCCAGAACGGCAAGAGGGAGGGAAATAGGAGGGAGGTGAGGGACGAGCGGGAAGAGCGGCGGCGAGCCGGCGGCTTGAGCGAGAAAAAGTTTTTGCAAAAGGAAAAAAAAAGTTTGCGCTTCTCGCGGGTGGTCCCGGCTCTGGGCCCGGCGAGCTGGGCCGGCTGGAGGGCTGGCGGCCAGGTTAGGGGGGGCGGGGGTGGCACTGAGGCTACGCTGCCGTGGCCCTGTCTGCCCCCCCTCCCACCGCACATCCCCCAGCCCGGACTCCAGCCCTGGACCGCGCACCCCGAGCCCAGCGCCCAGACGGAGGTGAGAAGGGGGGCAGGCGGGGGCCACCTGGGAGCGGTGGGGGAGGGGGCCTGAGGGGATGCTTAGTTTGCGAGGGACTCTGCCCAACCGAGAGGGACACCTGGGGCACAGAGGCAAAATTGGGGGGTAGGGGGGAGAGCCTGAGGTGAAATGTAGAAAGTCGGGAGATTTTCATTTGTATCTCCTCCGGATCTTTTTTCTTCTGACAGCCTGTCTGTCTCCGGCAATCGTGGATCTCTTTGTCCGACTCCGCCTCTCCCATCTATTAGAGACACCTCACTTTCGTGAGGTTTGGTTGAAGAGGCTGGAGCGACTGCTAGCTGGAGGTCTGCGTGATAGAGAGGGAACTCCAGCTGTGCTCTGAGTGCCGGCAGGAAGACGTCGGTGTTTCTGAAAGGAGGGGACAGCAAAGGATTGAACTCTAGGTGGGGTAGGGATGGGTGTGTTTAAGGCGACAGAACCACTGGGGGTGGCTGGGCTCGAACCCCTGACCTGTCTTGTGCCAGATGGGCTTGTTGGTGTATGTACATCGGAGAAAAGGAGTGTCTTCTGTACTAGGAAGGGGCCTGGAGTGGCCCGTGTCTTGTTTAGGCCCTAGAAAGACTCAAGGAATTTGGACTCCTAAGTCCCAAGGACTGTGGTCAGGGTGCTAGGCAGGAGTTGATGAGACCTTGTCTTGACCCTCTAACCTCAGGACCACCAGGGCAGCTGGGGCCAGCGGAGGGAAGATACCCCTACTGGGACTGGGCGGGACCACTGGCCACAGTCTGCCGGTGCATCCCCATTGGCCCTCTCTCCCAAACAGAAGCTGGGGACCAAGGCCCCTCCTTTGATTCAGACCACCCTGCCTGCCCTTGCTCCCCGCTCCGAAGCCTCTTTCAGGCTCCCTGACCCCGAAACAATCCTCTCTGGGTAGCTAGCTTTGGGGACAGGATTAGGGAGAGGGGAATCCCACAGAGACTGGGGACAGAGGTTTAAGGGGGCTGAAGGAATGGGGTCTTCTAGGATAAGTCTTTACGGTCCAGTAGAGGCAGAAGGCGGACCGACTGCCTGGGGAAGTTGTAAAGGCCGGTATTAGCGTCGTTTTCCCTAGGAGGCAGGGTTCAGAGACAACCCCCCATCCCATATCATCTCCCCGGCATCCTCTGCCCTGCAGCACTGACCCCGCCCTTGACGTCACTAAGGGTTTCCCGGGGGTCCTGAGGGGTTAACTCAGGAACAGCCAGCTGGGATACCAGGAACCTAAGGTGTCCGGACCCCTTCTTCTCCCCATACACACCTTATTTTATTCACCCAGACCTCTTTCTCTCCCTATAGTTCTGGATTCTTCTTTCTTTTCCACCTCTCCAACGGGACCCCAGTTCTCCAACTCTGCCCCCACCCCCAACCCAGCCTCTAGGCTCCACCACCACCTTTCTGGATGCACTGAGTGGAGGAGGGAAAAATGTGGTCCGCCTCTCAAGCCCCCCACCCCACCCCCGCCCCAACAGCTTTTCTCCACCGCGGCTTGCTCTACTGGGCTCCCGGGACGGGCGGGGGAAGCCGAGCCGTCTGCAGCCAGAGCCTGCGGCGGCGACTTGGGTGGGCCGAGGAGGCACGGGGGCGGGAAAGGCGGGCCCGGGAGAAGGGGGCGGGGCCGGTGCTTGGGAGTTGGGGAGGAGGACTCTGGAAAATAGGGGGACACATGAGATGATTCAGGGCTCCATCAAGGGAACCCTAGGACTCCAGAGCTCCCTGCCCCATCCTGCTCTCTCATCCATACCCCAGAAAACTTAACTGAAGCTGGAAAAGTTGGCAGAATTTTTCTTTAACCGCGTGAAGGGAAGACGTGGGTGGGCTGTTGCACGCGTGGGCGAGGAGGGATGTCGCCCTATTTCCATCGCGGCTCTGCTGCAGCTGGGCAGTGGGACGGAGATGACTGAAAGGACGTTTGGGGGAGTCTCTTTAGTGTCTGCGGGGGTCGTTTGAGAGCCACCGCCTCCTTCCTCAGGATGAGTCATAACGGGGGAAAGAGGCGAGAGACGTGTCCCCCACACACACACCCAGCTGCCAGCCAGCTGTGCCCCCAACCCCCAACCAACAGAGTGCCAAGGTCGAGTTGGGAGGTCTTGGATGCGGGATCCGATCTCCTCTGGGAAAGTAGGAGTTAGTAGGGGTACAGCCCAGGCTGCGGGGCTCGAGCTGGGTCATGGGGTCCATGTTCCGCTCCCCATCCTACCCCGCCCTCACCCTAAATCCCAGCATCCCGGGATCACCCACCGCGCCGGTGGCCCGCTCCCAGTCGTTCTCCACCCTACCCCGCCCCGCCCCACCCTCAATCCCGGGAGACCGGAAAACCCGGGGCAGATTTAAAACTGGAGTTGGAGAAAAAGAACAGTAGCACCCTCCCTTTCCTCAGACTTCGTTCTCCCAAAGCCTTCCTTCCCTCACAGTCCCTTTCCTGTTGCCCAAATCAGGCGGAAAGAGGTGGGCGCTCAGATCCAAACCACCCCAGAATAATATCAGCTTCCATCCTTTGTACCCAGCAGCCCCAGGAAGGCTCCCCTCAGAAACCTTATCCCATTCCACACGGTTTTCTGCCGTAGAGAAAAAAAGCAGCTCATCCCAGCTCCCACTTGGCCCCACCAGCCTCGCGGGCTGGGCTGTGGTGAGGACTCCCTCTGCTGGGGAGATGGCAGATGGGCTGTCTGTGGGCTGGCACCAATTAAGGTAAGGGAGGGGGGCGCAAGGAGAGCAGCCCACCCAGTGCTTGAAGTCAGACTCTCACAGGGGTTCCCCCATTCCACCCCTCAATGGTAGCCATGGTCAGGGCAAGAAGAAATAGAGAGGCCACGGTATAAAATCACTTGGAGCTCAGGTAGGTACCAATAGTCCACACCATTCCTCCCTACACACGCACACACACACCCAGGCAAAGCTCCCACCCAGTTCCCACAGAGATCCCCAGCACTGCCACCGCTGCCTCTTCAGCGCTTCTCCCTTTGCCCTCACCCTGAGTGATGATCGTTTCAACTTGATTTCCCATGGCAGATGTCTTGGAGTGGCTCTGCTGGGGTTTTGTGCCTGAGTTAGGTATTTGGCCTTATCTATTTCTCTCCCTGTCTTTATAACTTTCAGATCACCCTTCTCCTCCTACAGTATCCCTGCACTCTGCTCTGAGGCACCATGTTCAACTCGATGACCCCACCGCCAGTCAGTAGCTATGGCGAGCCCTGCTGCCTCCGGCCCCTCCCCAGTCAGGGGGCCCCCAGCATGGGAACAGAAGGTCAGTGCATGTATCAATCCCAGTGTCTTGAGGATGGGCAGACGTCTCACCTAGCCCCAGAGATCCCTCCTCTACCTCCTACCCTGTGCGTTTCCCATCTAAGATTTGAGGCCCCATGTCAAAAGGGCTTAGGACAGGGGATCAGGTCTTCCCTGGGGTCTCAAGGTGAGGCCTTATGTGTCCTCCATTCCCATCCCCCATTCCAGTGGTCTCTCTTTTCTAGGACTGCCTGGTCTGCCCTTCTGCCATCAGGCCAACCTTATGTCAGGCCCCCAGAGTTACCAGCCAGCCAGAGAGAATGACAGCTTCACAGAGGGTGAGGCCTCAGGCAACATCTCTGAAACTTGTCCTGAGGGGGAGGGCGGGAGCACAAGGGAACTAACTTGGAAGAAATGCCTGCAGATGGGAGGGGTCAGACCATGATCAGGAGGTCACAGATGGGCAAAGCACAGTCAAGTGTCCTCTTTTTGCTAAAAGACGTGTCCCTTGACCATATCTCCTGTTTCCTGCCCCAGCCCCACTCTTTCCTCGCCCCCTGAGTGCAGTCAAGTTGACCAAGAAGCGGGCGCTCTCCATTTCACCTCTGTCAGACGCCAGCCTGGACCTGCAGACAGTTATCCGCACCTCACCCAGCTCCCTCGTGGCCTTCATCAACTCTCGCTGCACATCTCCAGGGGGCTCCTATGGCCACCTGTCCATCAGCACCATGAGGTGCAGACAGCCTCAGGCTAAGAGGCTCCTAAAGATCAACTGAACCCCATTAAAAGCCTCAAGCCCTCCAAACCACCTGACCCTATTTGAATCCTAATCATTTCAAAGGCACTGAAGCCTTCCTCAGTACCTCCCTAGGACTGACTCAGCCATTTCCCATACCGTCTTCCAGAAACCCTCCAATAGCCCAAGAACTCCTGAGACTTTCTGAGATGATGGTCCTAAGTAATTGCCTCCCCTCCTCCTCCTTAGCCCATCTCTGGGACTCCCACCCCAGATGAATCGCCAAAAAGGGACCTCGCCTTCCTTCGGGGTCCAGGCCTATGACACCACCCAGGGTGGGATGATGCCGCATCCTCAGTCCCGGGGAGCCCTCCCAACTTGCCAGGTGAGTCCTCATGTTGCCATGTGATTTCTTTCAGCTCAGGGTGCATGGGTGGTAGACTTTATACGGGAAAGAGGACACAAAAGTTTTCAGTACCAGAAAAATAAAAGGGTCTGGATGCTGGGGTTCAGTCCTCAGGGTTTAATCAGACTCTTCCACACAAGATCCCACCTTTTGCCTATCCCAGTCACCAGTGCAGTCTGAGAAGGAAGTGCCTTCCAAACCCAGGGGTTCCAGCTGCACGGGTGGGGGTGCACAGGGCAGGAAGACCTGGCTGGGCTTCCTCTTCCTTCTGCTCACTTCCACCTTCATCACCCTCACCTCTTCCCTTGGGGAAGCTGAAGTCTGAGCTGGACATGCTGGCTGGCAAGTGCGTGGAGGAGCCCCTGGAAGGTGATATGTCCAGCCCCAACTCCACAGGCACACAGGTAAGGGAGGAGAAAATTTACCTCTGGAAACTGAAAGAAGCAAAAGCTGTTGCCTAAATGACCTGATGATTGTGTCTCCTCCTCTAGGATCCCCTTCTGGGGATGCTGGATGGGCGTGAGGACCTTGAGAGGGAGGAGAAGCCTGAGCCTGAATTTGTGTATGAGACTGACTGCCGCTGGGCTGGCTGCAGCCAGGAGTTTGATTCCCAGGAGCAGCTGGTGCATGTGAGCCCCAGTGGATAACAGGAATACTGGTGGGAGCCTGCAGGATGTTCTGAGCAGGACATTGCAGAATCAGGCTAAGGGCAGGAGGTCATGATATAGAGGTCAGAGGTTGATTGCCAATTTGGGCAGGCAAAAACTCATGAGTTCTGGCTTTGTTCTAGAAACCAGGAAGACCTGAGATGTGGGCTATGCTATCCTTCCTGCCCCTTCACAGTCCCTCAGGAGGTGGGGCTGTGGAGTAACTGGGTGGGGTGGGAAGTCCAAGGGAGGGTCTGTTCTGGGTCTCAGTAAGCCTCTGCCTCTCCCCTCTTGCAGCACATCAATAGTGAGCATATCCACGGGGAGCGGAAAGAGTTTGTGTGCCACTGGGGGGGCTGTTCCAGGGAGTTGCGGCCCTTCAAAGCCCAGTACATGCTGGTGGTCCACATGCGGAGACACACGGGCGAGAAACCACACAAATGCACGGTGAGGCACCCACTTCCCAGGCTCAGGGTGGTTCCACAAGGCAGGGCCTATTGACTCCCCTGGGCCCTAGGCACTGTGCCTGCTACTCTGCCGCATGGAGAAGCCCTGCATTGTGGACATAAGGTACTCCCAGGACAGCCCTATCCCAAGATGACCTAAAATCCCCATACAGGGAGATCTGCTCTGGCTGGACCAGATGCTCACTGCCTCATCTCCATGTCCTTGCAGGAAGAGTGCCTCCAGCTCCTTGTCTGCCCTTGTCCCCAGATTTTGGGAATTCTCCTGAAGCCCTAGTGCTTTTCCATCTTGAGTTACGTTCTCTGTTATCTGTCCCTTTTGAGATTTAGGGTTCCTCCAATCCCCATGTCCTTATTTCTGAGCTATCCTTTGACCCCCACATTACCTAGTTTGAGGGGTGCCGGAAGTCATACTCACGTCTTGAGAATCTGAAGACGCACCTGCGGTCACACACGGGTGAGAAGCCATACATGTGTGAGCACCAGGGCTGCAGCAAAGCCTTCAGCAATGCCAGTGACCGAGCCAAGCACCAGAACCGGACCCACTCCAATGAGGTGAGTGCCCCACCTAAGAAACCCTCCTCATTTGAGAAGCTCCTGCTGGGAGATGTCCCACAAGAAATCTTTAGTTCAGCACCCACTCCACAGAGGTGAGTTTCCCTCCCTCCACAGACTTCACCTCAAGCAGGCCTTTCTGAAAACAAGAATTTCTATTTGCCACCCCTTCCCTTACCTCTAACTAGCCAAGAGCTAACCTAAAATAGGGCATTCCAACTAGGAGACCCCTGGTCCCTTCAACCCAAGTTTATGAGTCCTCAAAGACCCCTCATCTCTCCCAGCTTTGGGCTACCAGCTTTCCTGAACTTCTCCTTGAACCTCTCATCTTCCACTCCAAAGGCCACCCTCTCCTTACTTCCTTGGGTGCTGTACACTGCTCCCTGACCCACCTCATCCTCAGTTGGTGCTACCACTTTTTTTCATTCCTTCGGCCTTCTCCTACTTTGATCCCTTTGCCTGATGCTTTCCACTCAACAGAAGCCGTATGTGTGTAAGCTCCCTGGCTGCACCAAACGCTACACAGATCCCAGCTCACTCCGGAAACATGTCAAGACAGTGCATGGTCCTGATGCCCATGTGACCAAGCGGCACCGAGGTGATGGCCCCCTGCCCCGGGCATCATCCCTTCCCACAGTGGAGCCCAAGAGGGAGCAGGACGGAGGCCCCATCAGGGAAGAGAGCAGACTGACTGTGCCAGAAGGGGCCATGGTGAGACAGCCCAGGCAGCCCCCTGCCTCCACACCCCACTTGCTTTGCTGACCTCTTTCCAGTCCCCTCCCAATTCCTCCATACCCTCCATTGTAAATCACTCTTCTGTGGCCAGTCCTCACACTGCATCCCAGTGTCGCTTCTTGGGTTACCCCAAATCTAGGGATTTTAGTGTACTTAACCTACTTAATTGGTGCCACAAACTCTTATATAGACTTAATATATCATTCTAAGCCTTTTTACATACATAGTTTCACATACACCTCACAACAACTTCATGAGAAAGGTATTTAACTGTCCCCACTTTCAGGTGAGAAAACTCAGGCACTGAGAAATTGTCCAAGGTCATAGAACTAAAAGCATGAATTCGAGCCCAGGTAGTCTGTGCTCCAGCTTGCACTCTTCTCATCAAATATCCCCTCCACTCTGCCCCATCCGTCACCTGCTCAGTTCACTCTATACCTGCAAGCCTCCCCAAAGCCCCAGCAGTCACTGGCACACAGGCTTTAGTGATTCACTAAGTTCAGCGCACTGTGGGGAAGGGGGAAAGGTGCCACCCTCAGCCCTCATCTTCCCTACAGAAGCCACAGCCAAGCCCCGGGGCCCAGTCATCCTGCAGCAGTGACCACTCCCCAGCAGGCAGTGCAGCCAATACAGACAGTGGTGTGGAAATGACTGGAAATGCAGGGGGCAGCACTGAGGACCTGTCCAGCCTGGATGAGGGGTCTTTCATTGCTGGCCCTGGGCTGTCCACTCTTCGCCGCCTTGAGAATCTCAGGCTGGATCAGCTACATCAACTCCGGCCAGTAGGGCCCCGGGGCCTCAAACTGCCAAGCTTGACCCACACAGGTGAGACCTAAGTTTTGGGGGGGGCATGGTGCTTGCTGGGCTAAGATCTTGACCTTCTCTGTGGCTGAAAAGGGGACTTCACCCTTCAGAGCTGCCATACAGCACCTTTGTACAATTAGAAAAAGTCCCCCTTCCTCAAGACACTTTCCTTCCACCTATCAGAAAACTGTTGTGATATACAAAGTCTATGATGGGAATACTGTCCCCTAGGACTGTGCAGTGTACAACCTGTACAACTTCACAGTGGCTCTGAATCACTGGTGACCTAGAGCAGAAAGGGCATGAGAGAAGGAGACAGAACTGAGTAGTTACGGAGCCTGCCCCTGGTATTCAAGGATAAGGCTGTCCCATGAGGGAGGCAGGGTGACATTCACAGTTTTCCCCGGCCACCCTGCCTTTTCTCCCTGTCACTTGCAGGCACCCCTGTGTCCCGCCGTCTGGGCCCCCCAATTTCTCTTGACCGCCGCAGCAGCAGCTCCAGCAGTGTCAGCTCAGCCTATACTGTCAGCCGCCGCTCCTCCCTGGCCTCACCTTTTCCCCCTGGCTCCCCACCAGAGAATGGAGCATCCTCTCTGCCTGGCCTCACGCCTGCCCAGCACTACCTGCTCCGGGCAAGATGTGCTTCAGCCAGGGGAGGTGGTACCCCAACTACTGCAGCACCCAGCCTGGATCGGATGGGAGGTCTTCCTGCACCTCCCTGGAGAAGTCAAACTGAGTATCCAGGGTACAACCCAAATGTAGGAGTCACCCGGAGGGCCAGTGACCCAGCCCGGGCTGCTGACCGCCCTGCCCCAGCCAGAGTCCAGCGATTCAAGAGCCTGGGTTGTGTCCACACACCTCCCCCTGTGGCAGGGGGAAGAAGGAACTTCGATTCCCAACTCCCAATCTCTGTCTACTCACCACAGCCCCCCAGCATCACTGAGAATGTCGCCATTGATACCAGAGGGCTACGGGAAGAGCCAGAGGTTGGGACCTCCATAATGGGCAGTGGTCTGAACCCCTATATGGGTTTCCCACCTGCCAATACTCTGGGATATGAGGGGCCTGAAGGGGCAGCAGCTGAGCCTTATGGAGCAGCTAGGGGTCCAGGCTCCCTGCCTCTTGGGCCTGGTCCACCTGCCAACTATGGCCCCAACCCCTGTCCCCAGCAGGTCTCTTATCCTGAACCTATGCCAGAAACATGGGGTGAGTTCCCTTCCCACTCTGGGCTTTCCCCAGGCCCCAAGCCTCCAGCTGGAGCCTACAGCCAGTGTCCTCATCTTGAACATTATGGACAAGTGCAGGTCAAGCCAGAACAGGGGTGTCCAATGGGATCTGACTCCACAGGACTGGTACCCTGCCTCAATGCCCACCTCAGTGAGGGGCCTCCATGCCCACAGCCTCTGTTCTCCCACTACCCCCACCCACTGCCTCCCCAATATCCCCAGTCAGACACCTATACCCAGTCACCCCCTGATTATCTTCCTTCAGAACCCAGGCCCGGCTTGGACTTTGATTCCCCCAGTCATTCCACAGGGCAGCTCAAGGCTCAGCTTGTGTGTAATTATGTTCAGTCTCAACAGGAGCTACTGTGGGAGGGTGGGGGCAGAGGAGACCCCCCAGTCCAGGAACCTCTCTACCAGAGTGCCAAGTTTCTGGGGGGTTCCCAGGTTAGCTCAAGCCCTGCCAAGACTCCCATGTCCACATATGGACCCGGCTTTGCCCCAAACCTGCCCTGTCATCAGTCGGGCCCCTATGCCACCCCTTCACCATGCCGTGGAAACTTTGCGTCAGGGGCAAACGAGGCTTCCCACCGGGGAGCAGCACTACCCCGACTTCTGCCCCCGCTACCCACATGCTGTGGGCCCCTCAAGGCAGGGGGCACCAACCCCAGCTGTGGCCATCCAGAGGTCAGCAGGCTGGGAAGGGGTCCTGCCTTGTGCCCTCCTCCTGAAGGGCAGGTGTGTAACCCTCTGGACTCTCTTGATCTTGACAACACTCGGCTGGACTTTGTGGCTATTCTGGATGAGACACAGGGGCCAAGTCCTCCCCCTTCCCATGACCAGGGGGATAGTTCTGAGCATACCCCACCTCCCTCTGGGCCTCCCAACATGGCTGTGGGCAACATGAGTGTCTTACTGGGATCCCTGCCTGGGGAGACACAGTTCCTCAACTCCAGCGCCTAAAGAGCAGAGAACCCACCCATCACAGATCCACACTTACAGAGAAATCAGGAGGAGGGGCCACAGCCCCCAGGATGCCCCCAGACAGGAGATAGGGGCTGAGGCTGCACACAGTCTGTATGTTTTGGGGAGGAATTTGATGACAACGCTGTTTCCTGGTAATAAAGGAACTGCATCAGAAAGAGCTCCGCTTTATGCATCATTGTCTTGGGGAAGGGGCCATGACTGGGGACAAGAGAGGCAGGGGTTAATCCACCCACTTCTCTCTTTAGAGAAGCTCCTTCACCCCACCTGAACTCTTCACATCAGACTCTCCAAGACGGAGACAGTCATTTGGGAAACAGGATTTAAAGGAATGTCTTCAAAACACACCTGGCCCCACGCCTGCCCAAGGGCACCCAACAGATCACTGGAGACATGTATCTCTTTTTCCTTGCTCAGGGGAAGAGGCTATCGAAGTTGGTGAGCAGCAGCTGGACCAGCTGCCCAGGGTAGAGAGCATGGGCTGCCGGGTCAGCAGTCTCCTGCTCTGGCCGAAATAGGGTTGGTCCAAACACGATTCCCAGGTTGTGGGGGGTCATGCGGTTCTTATCGGAGTGTGCTATCACCCTGCGGACAAAGGCCAAGAGAAGGGGCTATAAGCAGGGCTTTGCCACTTCAAATAAGTCTAGCCTCTCAAAGGTTTAAGGAGGGAAGAGTTCACTTTGGGTCCCTCCATGTGGCCAGAAGAAACCAAGGAGAGAGGCTCAAGAGAAATGGAGATGGGACTAGTGGACAAACTTTTAGGATACAACTTGAAGGTGCAACCTAGGATACACCTGCCTCTTCCCACTCCAGAGACTGCCCCTAGAGCCTCTCCACTGGCAATCTGGGAGGCTTTCATTCAAATGGCTATCTTCTCTCAGAAGCCACTGCCTAGGCTCAGCTTAGCCCATTAAGCCATCACCACTGTCCCAAAGAAAGACAAGAAGGCACAGGGAAGTAGAGGAGGTTTGCTTTTCCATATTTCTCTTACAGTATCCCCGGGCTTGTTTTGGTCCTCATTTCCCCATCTGATGCTGACCAATCACAAGGCTTTGCCCCCGGTAACATGTTCCCTGCACAGTGGTTGCCTGTTTTCACATTCTGCCCTAAACTTAGGTGTTCCCCTACCTTCAACCCATTTGAACAAAGAATCCCTGCTGCATGCTCCACTCCCCACTCCCCCTGCATGAACCCAGATGTTCAGTCCTCCTGACCTGCGTAAATGCTCCAGGAGGTACCACAGAGTGTCATGGTTGGGCTTTGGCATGGAGTCAATTAATTCTTGTATTTGAGAGAGGCGCTGTTCTGACTCAGAGAGTGCTAGAGAAAAGAGTGATGGGAAGGGCATGGGGCTGAGGTTAGGCACGGTAGTGGGCAGGGGTCTCACTCCTCTTTCCCATGCCTGTTGAAGACATCATTAACCTATCCCAGCTTCCTTTTTCACAGAGCCCAAATGCAGCCTTAGAATTGTTTTCAACTCAGTGCTCTAAACCTTCACAAACAGACAACTGGAGTCAGCACATGAGTTGAAAGTTACTCTCCATGTCTGTGCTCAGGAGGGGTCAAAGGAGTGTAAGGGAGCCTCCACTCTACTCATGCCCCACCCCATACCAAGGGCACTGTCAAAGCAGTGCTCATCCCTTACCAAGGGCAGCACGAAAACGGGGAAGCAGCAGTGGGGGCACCAGAGGCTGGGGTAGCTCCCTAAGAAAAAGCTTCAGGGCTCCAGTGACCACGTGAATGTCGTCCCACTCAGCACTGTCCAAATCTAATCGGCCTTCTGGAAAGAGAAGGTAGTACAGAGGGGTTCAGGGCTCATGCAGGGTTAGAGGGACCCAGAGATTGAGGGAAAAGGGGTTTGGGAGAATATCCACTAAGCAGACCCAGAAATGACTAGGGGATCCACAGTGGGACAAGACAGCAGAGGTGGGGATAGGGACAACCCTCCCAAGAACAGGACATGGGGGAATCCATGGGGAGCAGGAAGGATTTGGGGAACTCTGAAGGGCCTAAGGGACCTTCCATGGAAGTACCTTGTCCTGGATGTTCTGGGAACATGTACCTCCCATCAGAGGTCACTGCCCGCTCTGCCACATGTATGAGAAGAGATCAAGAGCTAAGACATGCAGTTCCAGCCAGCAGATCTCCCTGTCCTGCCAACCCTCTCCCTCAGAACTGCCCGTGGTTCTCAAGCACTAAGTTTTTAGTACCACCACTTGACCATAAGCCTTCCTCACCTCTGTCTACTAGAAAGCGAAGCTTCTGGACCACTGCCAAATTCCCACTCACTCGGTAAATGCCATCCACATCTAGACCTAGGAGATGAGGCAGGGAGCAGATGAGGAAAACTGCTGCAGAGTGTATGTGGTAAGGGCTAGTGAGGGGTCTGAGGGTGGAGAAGAAAAGGACAGAGGAAGACAAGGGTGTGGGAGGTGGGCAATTCTAGGCCTTGGAATTGAGTAACAGGAGATTCTGGAGTCTCTGGGAAAGTGACCTCTCTTATCCACAGCAGCAATGCAAAGCTGAACAAAGCTGGGCACGGTGTCCCCTTCCCGTTGACACAGTGATTCCAACTGGCAGCCGAACACCTGGTCTGGAGAGGCACAGAGTGAGATGGGAAGCCAGAGCCAGCAAGCCCCATGGAAGATTGTGTCGGCTCACCCTTCACCGCTTGGGGTGGGGTTGCCCTCTTGAGGCCCCCTGCCCCCCATAATCAGCAGCAGGGGGAAAAGCAGTGGTCTCAGACAGCTGAGCCTGTCTGGGAAGCTCTGCTCTGGACCTCACTTAAGTTTCTTCATCCATGAAACAGGCTGATGCCCATTTCGAAAATGCAAACGCGCTCGCCAAACGCGGAAGCAGGACACAGAACAAGGACGCCAGCCTGCCTGGCCCCCCTCACCTCGCAGCAGACCCCGCTCCTGCAGGCTTTGCAAGGGCGGTCTCTTTGCAATAAGTCGTTTAAGTTTGTTCCGCACGCGGTTCTGCTCAGTTCCTTCGGGACTCCGACCTGCAGAAAGCAGGTAGGAGAAAGGTGGAATCGAGCGCGAGAGCAACGGCCCTGCCGAGCAGCTAGGAACCGCGGCGCCGGTCCGCGCGGCCCGCCCCTCACCGGAGCCCCGGCGGCTGCCACCGCCGAGCCGCAGCAGTGGCTTGGACACCGGCCCCGCCTCCTCTTCCTCGTCCTCCTCGGCGCTCAGCTCCCCCAGCTCCGCGGGTCCCGAGCCTGACAGGCGCAGCTCCAGCGGGTTCTCCCGATCCTAGACCCGGATGGAGAGGGAGCCGAGTCCAAGTTGGAAGAGCGAGGAGAGATCTGCATCCCTGCCTCCAAGCAAGGAGACCCTCACTTGCTGCTGGGGTCCCCCGCCTCAGGCCCACCCCCGCAGCCCCTTGTCGCGTCCCCTCTCCCTCCGCACGCCCCGGCCCGCGGACTCCCACCCCTCTCACCAGGCGCTCGATGACCGCCCGCAGCGCCCGATGCCAGGCTCGCAGCTCGGTCTCCTGGTCTGACTGCAACAGGAACTCGTGACCAGGGACCGTGCGGATCTGAGGGGCCGGTGGGGAGAGGAGTAAAAAGCATGCAGGCGAAGCGGGAGACCCGCGCGGGAAGTGAGGCGCACCCTCGGTCTTTGAGGGTGCGCCAGGGAACTCACGTGCAGGACATTGCGGCGGCTGGACAGGTGGCGGCCGTGAGCCACGGCCGCCCCTCGCAGGTCCACGCTGCTTTCGGGTCGGCTACCCGCTGGTCCCTGGCAATTAGGGGATAAACTAAGGCGGCGGCGCTGTATCCCTCCCTGCCTCTTCCTGCCCAGTGGACTGCGAGGAAGCGGAAGACTGTGCTCTTTCCCCCCGTCGCCCCGCAGTGGGCCTGGGGTGGCTAGAAGTTGTGCAAGACCGCCCCCCGCACGCCCGCTTCTCGTCTCCTCCCTTCCCACTCACCCAAACTGAGGACGGCGCAGTCGGTGGAGGCTCTCGGTAGAACACCAGGCTGTTACCTGCTAATACCACCCAAGATGGGCCCCAGTTCTTCCTGTGGGAGGTTGTGGGAGGAGTGGTGGCAGTGCAAAGGTCACTTAGATTCACCAGTGGAGGGCACTCTCCCAGCACAGCCCTAGACTAGGGAATCCAACCACAGGGCCCCGGCCCTATTCTGGTCTTACCTGAGCTTGCGACCCCCCTGGGCGATCTTAGTCACGTTGAGCGGGCCCGACTTTTCTACCTCCTGGGAAGTGGAAGTGTGGGAGAGTAGGGGGCGTGCGTCAGTAAGTCACCCAGCGCCCCCCACAGGCGCCCATCTTTCCCCAGAGGGTCTCCCTAGAGTAAGGGCCTTTCAAGTGGCTGGTGGGAGGGGGTTGGGTAAGAGGATGCCCAGAGAACACTCAGGAAGAGGAAGATGTTTCTGGAGTAGGAATTGGGGGCTGCGGCAGGGAGGATCTTGGCATTCGCAAGGAAATGGGAGACTTACGTGGGGATCGTCCAGAACCTGTGGCAGAGGTCGAGGGGGCTGCAACGCTGAAGGCTGGTCTGAGGGGTTGAACTGGGTGGCGCGTTGGTGGAGGCCCGGTGAACCCTGGGGGAGGGGATTGGAGAAACAGGTGGAGGAACCTCCAACTTCCGAGTCCCTGGCTGTAGGGGGAAGAGGGGTGCGGATGTGGGTGAGAGGCAGAGGGTATGGTGGGTAAAGAAGAAATGTCTTGCATAAAAGAAAATCGTAAAAAGATGGCTTTTCCTACATGTGATCTCAAGGAGGGAGGGATCTCACCTGGGGGCCAAGCAGTTCTGGGGTCCCTGTGTCAGATTCTGAGCCCTTTGCCTGAGGTTGCAGGATACTGTTGTCCCTATTCAGGGTCTGTGCCCCCTGCATGGATCCAGGGATCTGGGGGAAAGGAGAGGTGAAGTTACATTTAGATGTAACTCTCTCCACCACTCTCAACACCGGTCTCACAATTTTTTGATTCTTCTGAGAACCCCAGAGAGAAAATACACTACTCTGGGGTTCAGTAGGGCAAAGAAAGGGATTAAGGGGACAAAGAGATAAGCAGTAGGGAGGCCTCACCATCTCTCGAGTGCGAGTGTGGCGTGGGGGCTTCCAGGACTTGGAGCCAGTCAGCGAATTTATGTAGTAGCAGCGTCCGGAGTTGAGATCCAAGTGCTGCTCCCAGGCGTCCAGCCTCTGCAATGGGGGGCATGCAGGGCTTGGGGGTGGGGACCGGGGACAACGGCGAAGGTCCACCAGGTTGCAGTACACAGGAAGCTCTGACATGAGGGGCTGGGGTCTTACCTACCAGAAAGGAGGAAGAAAGAAGTAGTCATTCTGCTGTGCCTTTCCCCACCTTCTCTCCATCTGCCACCTCCTCCCCGCCAACCATTTTCTTACCAGCAGCTCCTGGCTGGGGTGACCCAGGTCCTGGGGAAGAAACCCCAGTCCCTAGCAGGTTTGGTTTTTCTTTTTTCTTTTTTTTTTTACTCCCTCCCTCATAGTCTTCTTTGCTTTTCTCCTCACTTCCTGTGGCCAACTTCCCTCCTCCCCCACCCCACCCCAACCCAGGGCCTCAGGAAAGGGGAACAGGCTTTGTGTGTGTGTGTGGGAGGTGGGGGTGAGGGGAGTGCCTCACCCTCACCCGCTCCAGAATAATAGGAGACTGGAGAGGGGTCAGAGCTCCCTACAAGGGACTGTGAGAGAGGAGGGGCCATTTTTCACCAACTAGTAAGTAAGAGAGGGGAGGGGCTGAGTCTTCTGGAGGAGCAAGAGAGTTACCTCTCTAGAGCAGACTTGCTGGTGACTTGAGCTGTCAAGACAGGACACAGGAAACACCATACCCTGGCTCAGGAGTCATGAGGAAGAGAGAAAAAAGCACAGCTGAGTTGGCCTTCTGTCTGCCAGGTGCCATATACTTCGTGATCTTTGCTACTTGGTGTCCCTCAGCTAGAATTTCTTCTCACCTCCTAGTTTGCTTCCTGGTTGTCTTTTCCTCCCCCTTATTGAGATTCAACTAAATGACATTTCTTCAGAGATACCCTCCTAAACCACATCATCTTTCTCCACCACATATATACTTCTTGGGAGCTCTTATCAGTACCAAAGCTTATCTTACTTATTTGTTTATGTGTTTTCACCCCCATGGGAATCCCTTGAGGGCAGAGAGTCTGTCTGTCCTATTTGCCACTATGCCTAGAATAGGGCCCAGCAGAAAATATCTATTGCACTTCCTGCTCAGAAGAGCTGGGACTCACCACATTGTCACTGGCCTCTGTCAGCAAGTCTTCCTGGGAGAAAGATCTTCCACTTGGGCCTTCCTGGAAGGGCTTCAGGAGGGTAGGCCTCAAATTGGTAACATTGACACTTCTACACATTTTGGGGGGAAGAGGAGGAGGCTGCTCAGACATAACCTGGGTTCTGCCCGGGCATTCCTGAGACAGGTGCAGCTCCTTCAGGGAGCCAGGAAACAACTTTGGCCCTGGAAAACATGAGAAATGGGAAGAATGGGGGTCAGGCCATCAGAGGTGTGATGTTAGCTGGGTCCTCTATCCTGGGGGCTCACAGAGAAGGCAAGAGCAGGGGAAAGTTACGGAAAATTATATGAGACCTAGAAGGCTTGAGACTGAGAGGAGAGGCAATAGGGACACCATGGTGGGAATAAGGAGTACGTTGATCAAAGGGAAGTATGAGAAGGGGGTGAGCAGGAGCTTTGGAGAGAAGGATCCTTCCAATAATTCCCAGAAGCTGAGGAGGTAGGAAGGTGACCAGGCAGGGCTTACTCACCATGAGACCAGAGGGATTGGCTGGGGCTGGTGGTGGTTGGGCTCTGGGAAGGGATGGATTCCTCCATCATGAAGGCAGCTGGGACAAAGATGGGTGGAGAGACAGAGGGTGCTCCCAGGCGCCTTGCTAACCACCAGTCTGAGTTGGTCTTCTGAAGCAGTAGGAACCTGTCCCCTTCAGCCAGAGACACCTGCTGGCCATCTCCTCCAGTGTAAGTGAAGGCATAGAGGGCACGGAGCCAGGATCCCTGAGAAGGGCTTTGGAGTCCCAGCCCTAGGCTCCCCCAGGTACTTGGCCACCACTGGCCTGACAGCATTGTGGTCAGTACTGTCACCTGTAGGAAAAAGGGGTGTTGGAGATCCAGAAAGGGACAGGACTGGCTGCTTCCAGGCAGAGAGACATGGCTCTAAGAACAGTATCAGAGGAAGGTAATGCTAGGAACCCTGAGATAAGAAGAGAGGGTAAAGCAGAGCCTAGGTGGGGGTCAGTGACAGGTTTTAGGGGCTGAGAACTCCTGGGTGATGTGACTGGTGAGGAAGTATATAAGTAAGGTGAGAGAGGATGTGGTCAACAGGGCTGTGAGGCCACCAAAGCAGGAAATCAGAGGAGTGGGCCTAGCTCGGTGATTTTCCTCCAAGTACCTTCTGGGGCCCATCAGAGGGGCAGGAGGAGCTGGTCCTGGATGGTAGGGGGACTTTCGATCTGGATACAGGAAGATGAGAAAAAGGAATCCACTCTGAGACAGAACAGAGGCAAAGAGACAGGAGTTAATGACAAAGATAAAAAGTTTGTGACCCTTTATTAAATTTACACAGGCACCGATGTTTCCGTTACCAATTGCCACAGACCTAAAGCTGCATACTTCCTGTGCAGACTCAGAGAAACATAGAGGTAGAAAAACAAAGAACCAGAGAATAGTAAGACCAAATTTGAAAGAAAGAGAAAGTGGATGGGAGAAACACAGTAGTTTTCAAAGTCAGAGGAAGGGATGAAAATATCACCATTCTCTTAATCCAGGATGTGTTTTTAGGAGCTGAGAAGCCTGATACAATCCTCTGTACATAAGCCTCTTGGTCGGGGCCCTGCTTTATTGTGTGGGTTCATTCATTCATGCTCTTAATAAGGATGGGATGAGCACCTCCTGTGTGAAAAGAACAGTGTTAGGCACTGGAGATGAGAGGGGAAGAAGAGAGACACAGCTCTTGCCCCCTTGGAGCTTAAGGAAAGATTCTAACTAATGACCCAATAAATTTATTAATTATAATTGAATCAGTGACTATGAAAGGACAAGTGGTACAGGATGCTATGACAGCATATGAGGGCGGATGGGGGATTGATGTCAACTTCCCTGGTGGAAGGTAGAAACTGACCTCCCCTGTCGATTGCAAGAGCTTTAAAACACACTTGTGCTTTCCTCCTTACCTGACCATTCCTCTTTTCCCGTTTTTTGTTTCTCCACTGCACTAAGCAAAGCTTTCTGTGCCCTTCCCCCACCCCCTTGGTGACATCAGAGATCCAGCTCTCTTCCCTGACCTTGATCTGAGGGCTGGGATTCCACCTCACTGATCATCCTCTCCTTTCCAACTTCTAAAATAGTGACAAACTACATGCATTCACTTATTCATCTGGTGTTTGTTAAGTGCTCAAATTTCATCTCTCCTACCTTCTCTGCCATTTCTCCTGCACTTTATCCTCTCCCTCTTTATTGACTCCTTCCCATTAGCTTTTAAACATATCCAAGTCTCCCACAAACTCCCTTTGCTGTACTCTCCAGGCACCACCCCCTCTCTGTTTCTCTTTACAGTCGAACTTCTTGAGTAGCCTACCTATAGGCATCTCCATTTCCTCTCCCTTCACTCCCTCACCTTTGCAAGGTCATTCCTCACTAGGGCTACTCCTGACCTGGCACAGATGCTTTCAAGTCCTTATATTGCTTGACATCTCAGTAGCAGCCAACACGATTGACCGTTCTCTCCTACACACACTGCTGGTGCCCCTCTTATCTTTTAGCAATTCCTTCTCTGTTGCATAAGGAAGGACTTTCCTTTGCTTGTTCCTTAAACCCCAGAGGTCTGTCTGAGATCTTAAGCCCTTTGCACTCTATAAACCCTAAGTGGTCTTATTCTCTCCCCAGCCCAAATGTCCTCCCTTAATGGCTGAGTTCCTAATCTGCAGTCCATATCTTTCTCTGAAGCTCCAGTCTAATCTACTGTCTACTGGATAGCTCCACTTCGGTATTTCATAGGTACCACAAACACAGTCTGTTCTAAACTGAACTTGTCAGCTTCCCCCACAAACTTGGTTCTCTTCCAGTACAATGGTTCAATTTAAATTCAATAAATATTTATTGATGTTTACTACCATATATGCCAGGCAGGAGCTGTGTACTTGGCATCATAGATTAAGAATACAAATATGGCCTCTGCCCTCTCATAGAATTAAAATACAGTGTGATAATCACTATGATAGAGGAAATATTATCATCTCTTGGAGCACATAGAGGTGTACCCAATTACCCACGCCAGAAACATGACAGCCAATCTTAATTTCTCTTGTTTTCTTACTCACATTTAATTGATTACTAAATCTTTCCAGTCTACCTACTTCCTTTAATCCCTACAACTACCACCCTCTTTAGCCCAGATGGCATAACCTAACTAGTCTTCTTGCATACAGTTCTGTTCCCCTCCAGTCCATTCCTGGCACAGTAGCAGGTGTGACCTTTCTAAAACACAAAAATGTCCTGATACTCCCAACTTAACCTTTCAAAGGCTTCTCATTGTCTTCAGAGACAAGTCCAAATTTTACAATATACTTTACAGGTAGACTTCTTCCCTTTAGCCTAGCCTTTTTACACTACCCACCACAAACTCTAGCCACACACTAATTCCTCACATACCTAAAATGCACTGAGGTCTCTGGTCTTTTGCATGTGTTTTTCCTCTGCTTAAAACAATTCCTCTCTCCACTTCCACCAATTTTCACCTGGCTGACTCTTACTCATCATTCAGATCTCAGTTGAGAAGTCACTTGCACAAGAAGGCCCCTCTTAACTCCTTAGAGTAAGGCAGGGGCCCTAACTAGGAGCTCCCACAGTATACATCCCCCATTATAATTTTCATGACATTTTAAAGATTATTTGATTTTCTGACTTCCCAGGAAATCTGTGAGCTCTCCCCAAAGCAGAAGCCTGAATCGATTTTGTTGATAATGTATCTTTAATGCCTTGTATAGTTCTTGGCACAAAGTAAATTTTCTGTGCCTCAGTTTCCTCATCTGTAAAATTATAATGTGAGAACTTAGTTCATTGTTTGTATTTTGTAAAAGAACAACCATGTTCTTACAGTTCACAATTTTATGGGGCAGAAAATGGGTGGAGCTCAGCTGGGTGATTCTTCTGTCCTATATGGCCTTGACCAGGGTAACTTGGTAGTATTCAGCAGGAAGATGGGTTGGTCTAGAGAACTTCACTCATTGATCTGACACCTTGACAGGGACGATTGGAATGCTGGGATCAGCTGGGACTGTCAGCATGAGACCCCTACAGCATGGCAGTCTCAAGGTAGTAAGACTTCTCCCATGGCAGCTCAAGGCTACTACTAGAGTGTTCCAAAAAGCCTGGGCAGAAGCTGCAAGGCTTCTTACGACCTAACTTCAAAAGGCCCAGAACCTCACCAAAGCTTTTCAAGAATGAAATTAAACATATGTAAAATGCTTTTAATAGTGCATAACTTATAAGTACTATTAGGTATTAATTATTCTTATAGGAATGTAAAGATGAAGAAGGGTCCTTTTCTTAATTATAATGTGCTTTCTTGTATAATATATACTTACTGCCAAACTCTGCCTTACTTCCCCTCAATCTGACCTTTATCCAACACGTTTCCTCCCCTTTAATGAGATTATCTAGTTGTATATTAGTCGCAGACTGGCATTAAATCAATATTAATAGTCGCATTCTTTGTTATGAATAGGCTATGTACATTAATCTCCATTGTGTCACTACAGTAAACGTAACTCTCAACTCTGAAACTCTTGATTCTTACGAACGCGGGCCGAGCATAGGCCACTGGGAGTAGTATCGCCACATCTTCCCCTCAGCCCGTGGCAAGGCCGGGTTCTCTGTCACCGCGCTCTGGCTGCGTTAGGGGAATGAAGTTGGCGGGGGGG